TATATATATATATATATATATATATATATATAAAATTATGAAAAGAATTAAAACTTTACCTTTTGGATAAATCAATTTAAATGCATATTTTATATATATTTAAACATTTATTTATATGCATGTATACATACATATATATATATATATATATTAGTATATATACATGTATATATATATATATATATATATATATATATATGTATATGCATATACATAACAAATAATATAATAATATAAATAATAAGTTGAAGCAACTTTGTCAGAGTCAAAGCAAAAAGTTTATATACTTATATTTAAACAAATACAAACAACAACAAAAACAACAACAAATAATTTTAAAGCAAGATTAAAACAAATTAATATTTAAAACAATTATATACATACAAAATAAGAAAAAAAAAAAAGCAAACATCACATCTAGATAATTCTCTTAAAAATTTTCAATTTTATTATAAAACCGAAAATAAGTAAATTAACAAATTTAAACAGTGAAAGCATTATTATATTATAAATTTATAAATGTATTTCAAACAAACAAAGAAAGAAAAACAGAAAAACAAATGATAGGGGCAGCTGGCTGGCAAATGGAAATAAATTTGCCTAATTTGCCAAAATGCGAATTGCGCCGTTGTGAGAAATGATAAATTGTATGCAATCCAGAGAAAATGATGATGAAGAAGAAGAAGAAGGAGAAGAACAAATTAATTTACAAATGGCATAATGAACAAATGCAGACAACAAGTTTTAACCTTAAGTGAATGCAAAATAAAAACAAAGATTATCAATGTTATTAACAAAATTAATATTAACAAAACAACCAAAAAAACAAAACAATACAAAACCATTTAAAAAAATATACAAGTACCTATCCTGAGAATAAAATGCGCGCACGTTTATTATTTCCTCTAAATGTTCGTTTTGAATACATATACGTCATCAGATTTTCTTTCAGTTCAATTTTTCAAATTAGACGCCAAATGGAAGTAAGTTGTGGTTACGGTTACGTTAAGCACGCTAAGAATCGGTAGTTCACATTTGGAACCTGTTATAAATGCTTGTGGGCATTCTCGTTTAATATGAGTTATCGATGACAACAACAGATTACAAAAAGTCGGCTTACAGAGATTTAAAATAATGTAATATAAGTGCAGATTTTGCTTGGCAATGATTAGTAAAATATCGATTTTCATAGCGATTATTAAGCTTGTGTATGATTTGAATATGGGCCATACAAAAAATAATCACCTCTTAGGAACACTGAATTTTGTTCCAAGCATATATTGCGAATATATCTGCTTACGTCATCCTGCTGCTGCTTTACGTCAGCGTACGTTGAGTTAACGTCGAATATGGAATTTTTGGTATTTAGTATGCAGTTGAAAATTGGAGAATTTGGTATTCGCAATTTGTGGTCACACTGGTAGAATATCAATAAAAATAAAGGAGAGGGAGGGGGAGCTGAAAATTCCATTGAGAAGCGAAAAAAAACGTAGCGAGAGAAATTACGACGTCTGCAGGGCACAGCAGCAGCCAAGACGAAACGAAAATATAAATACAAATTGTGAATCCATTGCTGTTGTGTTACAGAAATAACAGTAACACAGATATAGCAAATTACCAACCAAAAGTAGCAAAATCCTGCAACGCGACAAGGCGGCTAACTAGCTTCAACAAAAAAGAAAGAAAAAAAAATCAACAGCAGCAGGAGTAGAATAAAAAGTAGAAAAGTGCGTGTGTTGTTGGCCAACGTGCCAGTGCGTGCGTGTGCGTGTGTGCAGCTAGTGCAATCCAGTGCAGTAGACAGCGCACACCATAATATACGCTCACTCAGTGTGGGCGCCATCTGTAGCAACAGCAACAGCAACAGCAACAGGAAGAGGAATAGTCACAGCCAGAGCCACAGCCACAATCCAATTCACAGCGTACTGCAAATATGTCTTCGAATAATCAATCGAGCGGTGTCGCTGCCCAAGTGGCAACAAGTGCCAACCAGCGAGGTGGCAACGCCACCAACTCCACGGATGCCACAGACACGCATCACGGCAGCAGCAGCAATAGTAGCAGCAGCAACAACAATAATGCCAGTGCCAATGCCAACGCCTCCGCCACGGGCAATGCCACAGCAAGCAGCAACAGCAACTCGAATGCCGCCACCGCTGGCCACGATAGTCCGACGCATAAGGCGCATGGCGGACACGCAGCGGTCAACACCAAAGAGCGCGTTGTCGACAGCGTTCCATTTCCACCCAGTCACAAGCTGACGATGGCCGAGGTATTCGATGCGCGCACCGGCAAGCCCAATCACGAGCTGCTAAAGCAGCACTTCATTTTGGAGGGCCGGATCGAGGAGGCGCCAGCACTGCGCATCATCCAGGAGGGCGCCGCCCTGCTGCGACACGAAAAGACAATGATCGATATTGAGGCGCCGGTTACTGTGTGCGGCGACATCCACGGCCAGTTCTATGATCTCATGAAGCTCTTTGAGGTGGGAGGATCGCCGGCAACAACAAAGTATCTGTTCCTGGGCGACTATGTGGACCGGGGCTACT